TACTTGCACTGTTAAAGAACTTCTAGGGAAGAGTAATTGGTTTTATTTATTTACTTTATACAAGTTACAAAATTTATTTAAGAAGTCAACTTTCATGGTTTGAAGGAATATGATAGTATTACAGTTTCAGAATGTGTCATATTTGATGTTCCAGGTAGTAAGTCTAGCTCAGTTAAGAACAAAGTATTTGTACAGCAAGTAGTCAGAAAACAGAAAGCTGTCCTGTTTGAAAGATGACCTTTCAAGTAGTTGGAGAAAAGTGGCTCCTAATTTTGAATGGTGAAAAGAATGGGTTCAGTGAATACTCTGTCTAAATAATGTTTGCACAAAGACTTGTGAATTAAATAGGCCATAAGATTTTATGACTCAAGTGACTGTTGGAGTGGTGGTGGCGGCATACGTTGTTTCAGTGAAGTTCATCATGTTAAAGAAGTACTTCAAAGGCTGTATGTTTAAATGTTAAATAATACATCTTCAAATGGTAAAGTAACTGTCTTAAGACACTTGAGTGCTTTCTACACCTGCATGTACACTTTGGAATTAAAATCATGATTGCTTAAGGTCTGAAGCATTTTGCCAAACCAGTGTTTGTATGACAAGAAAATGTTCCCCATATTGTGCACATGTGCAGAACAGTATACTTAGAATATGCCTCAGTATTCTAAGCCAGATACTCTATGTGCACTTTTCAGTAATGCAGTTCTCTATTTCCATAGGTTAATTAATTTGATTTTGTTGACACCCTGAACCAATGATGTTCTGCCTATTGAAGAAGTTATAATGTAACATGTAATGTAATATAATGTAACAGTTCCTTGGGAATCAGGTCTTCTGCTCTGAGAATTGCAAGGCCTTTACCTCTAAGGTGCTGGGAAACACCCATCCAGAATCTGCTGTCACTATTCTTTTTCCCAGATTGCATGCCCTTTTTGGATGTGTTGGGATATTGAATCAGACATTTTCAATGCTTCTGGGCTGTGTGAGTTTTGTGGCACTGGAAACTAACACCATCCTTCCAGCACAGTGCCTTCTTAAATCAGACATAATGGAGTAGCCCTTTTTCCAAAGAGCTGGCTGCAAAAAGACAATTTAGCTCAGCAGAGGTGAGTCTTTTAAGAGCATGTTGAGTATGAGTGATACCTTGGCTGTCTTGAAGTCTCATCTAATTGCTCTGGAATTGCAGTTCTTGTCCCATATACTGTTATGAGCTGTTGGGCAGTTGCAAGACTTAACTGTCTGAGCCTACCCTTGCATATGTTGTAAAAAACATGAAACTGATTTTTTATTATTGTAGGGTAGGATATATGCTCTAAAAGACATATCCTTCTATGACATAAGACCTCTCTGTCATTGAGGAGATAACTTTACACACATGCTTTCTACATTTTCAGGTAGTTTCAAAGGCCTGCCTATCACTCCTTGGTTATAAAGCAGACCCAAGGGATGATATCACAAGATCATCAAGAACATAGTGGTGCAAGATTGCCATCCTTCTGTCAGCACTTTTGATTGATTTTTGAAGCTAGGTATTTTGATCTCTGCAATTGGTCTAATTGTGGTCAGATGCCCAGGTTGGGGTACAGTCTTAGCAAAGAAGACACTGCTCAGAAGTAGGGTTTTTTTGGTGAAGTGGCTGTATTTCCAGCACAAATGCTAATCTGTATTGCACATCTCTTGGATGTCACAGAGTTCTAACACTCTGTACTAAAGCTTTTCAGTGCCCTTTCTTTTTTGATGAAGGAAGAGGAAAATGGGATGTTAAAATAAATTATGCGGAGATGTACTCGAACTGCCCTGGCAAGTTAAAGGAGTTACATTTTGCTAGGATGCTTAGATCAGTCAGAATGATAGCAAGGAACTTGGAAAGAATGCAGTGCACTATCTTCTTTAATATTGCTGTATTTGGTGTGGGGAAATTTATAAATCTACCCTGTGTGTAGCAGTACAGTATTTATTTGAAACAGTCTGGTGATATATATTGGGACTGCCACTGTGTCAGTCTGTAGCTCATCTCAAAGAAAAAGTAATAAGGGAATATAACTTGGTTTTCTAATTTAATAGCAAGATGGTTTAACAAAATGAACTGCCTGGCTGTCCATGTGAATGTATCTATCTTTCACTGTTCAATAACAAAATTCTCCATCAGTGGCTTCATGACAAGTTATTACTGTCTTAAGCAGCTAACTGGTTTGAAGTACCCACTGTGTTTACTAAAAGCTATGTTACTGCATAAACATTCAGGAATGATGTTGAACGTGGTAAAGAAAGAAAATCATAGCCATCTCTTGCATGCTACAGGATTAAAACTATCTCCAGATTATCTGTAAACATTAGAGAACTGATTTGCTGATTTGGAACAAACCTAATGATACCTGTTCAAAGACAAAGTCAATATTGTACTGACTTGCTAGTTATGGGTTAGCCACACTTCTGTTTCTGTCTGTTAGTGTCTAATTGCTCGCTGGTCTGCAACTCAGAGGAGACCGCCACAATGTGTAAGGCAGGCATGCTGAGTCAGGGAAGAAAATGAGCATTCTATGTTAAGCAAAAAAATTCATAAGCTCAAAATTTGTAAGATATGCATGTTCAGTGAATATTCACCTGTAGGTAATCCAAGTTCAGTTGTTTTCTTAAGAGCATCCTTTCTTGTCTTACATCTCATAACACAGAAGTGTTAATAATGTAGGTTTTGGAATTTGGATTTACGTTATGTAGTTGAATGAAATGTAAATTTGGAGGACATTACAAAATAAGACTTGGCTGTGGTTTCAAAATGACTGTTGAAATATAGCCTACAGTGGCATTTTGTGACAGAATCACAGAGTGGAAGGGATTGCTGGAAGTCATCTTGCCCAACCCTTTACACAAGTCACCTGGAGCTGATTGCCCACGAGAAGCCTTTTGAATATCTCCAAAAAGGGATACTCCACAACCTTCATGGCCAGCCTGTGCCAGCGCTCAGTCACCCGTACCACAAAGAAGTATTTCCTCCTCTGGTCCTGTCACTGGGCACCACTGAAAAGTCTTGCTCCCTCTTTTTTTCATGCTTCCTTCAGGCATTTTTGTACATTGATGAGATCTCCCTGAAATTTCAGGTTCACCTCTTCAGGTGAAACAGGCTCAGCTTTACTGGCCTTTCCTCATAGGTCCCCCTAATCATACTTATGGTTCTTTGCTGGACTCTCTCCACTATATGCATGTGTCTTGCGTACTCAAAAGACCAGAAAATTACATTTGAGATAACATTGTTTAAAAATGGTTTTAAATCCACATGAAGTGCATTAACAGCAGTAACTATTAGTGACTTCCTGTAAGAGGTGTATTTAACAGTCACAAATTTACCAAAGTGTTCCTAATGAAACTTCATACTCTAAAACCTGTAGTTTTTAAGTAACAGCTGTATGTAATTGATGAAGCTTGTAACTTATTAAACCACAACATAAACAAAGGTTTCTAACAAAAAAGTATCTGGATTTATGACTTCAGCTGTTTTGAAGTCAGGACCTTCTACAGTATCTTATGGAGGCAAATGTGTGTCAGTCTATAATTGGAGTCAGAGTGCCTTGCTTTGAGACAGTTGTCTCGATACCTCACTTTGACTGGATTATCTTTACTCTTTGGAGAGGTAGAAAGTGAAGAGTAGTTTTTCTTTCTCCCCTTCCTTTTCCTTTTCACCTTTCTTTTTCCCTTCCTCCCTCCCTCCTTCCCAGCTGAAGGAAAAAAAGAGATTGAATAGGTTTTGAGTCTCTGATTGAGGGCTAGGAATTTCTGACATTTTTCTTTGTACTTTCTAGCACACTATATTTAAGATAGCAGGTACTGGAAAAGATTATCAAAGAGAAACAATAGTTGTGTCACAAGAAAGTGGAATTTTGAAAAGTTCATTTTTATATGGTTTTGTCTCAGAAGTTAATATTTAAACAAAATGAGGCCTCAGACTATTCAGAACTTAGAATTTTTCCCCAAAAAACCAGTCACAGTATATGTATTTTAAGAAATACCATTTAATAATATGCTGCTGGACTGTTTAATTTTTATGCCTTAGGGTAGCACAGAGCACTATTTCTACTTTTAGAAGCTTCTTCTCATTAGTGTAGTCTCTTATATAGCACCTGTTTTAAACTCCAAACCTGAATCTACAAATGTAAAACCTGACTTTTGAAATATTTGCTTTTTTGAACACTCTTCTTTAAAGGACCTATCAGGATCTCTCCCCAAATTGCTAGAAGCATGAAGGATAAGGGAGGAACAATGTTGCATGGCCCAAACACATGTGCTTTCGTCATTAGCAAGGTACAGCATGACCTCATGTTGACCTCAAAGGTAAATCGCTACCAGGGAACGATTATACATGCCTGTGAAAGCAGCTTAGTTTTGAACAAGAGAATAATTCAGTGCATAGAATAAAATTAAGTTTACAACACTGTCTGCCTTTCCCTTTCTCTGTCTTGTCTCTCTCCAAGTCTCTTCTTGAGAGAATGTTGTTTTTTATATGTGTGTTTGTTGTGAAAGAAAACAACTTTTTTAGAGGTCATAATGAATTCCTAAATACGGGGAACTCAAAGGATCTTATATCCAATTTAGTCAAATTGTACCACTTACAAGTAATTTCCTTTTTAATGAAAAATTTTGTTTGTTATCTAGGGTATTGGTATTGCAGCCTTCAGAATGTTTATCTGTTAGTTGGGGAATCTTGCGAAGTTCTGAAATGTACAGATCATTCAGATTTGTGGGAGAGATTTTCTAAATATTAGTAGATTAATTTTTGTGTGCTTATCTTAGACTGCAACACAAACTTACAACATTTTATTTTTTCATAGAAGACTAAATATGTAGTAGCATTATGTGATGCATCTCTACATATGATGGAATATTGTTTAGCTAGAAGTTCTGAGCTATTTGGAGAAGAATTGCTGCCAGCATCTTGGAACTGTTAGCCATATCTATCCCATATTATTTGTATAATATAATGGTTAGATGTAAATATTTTTTTTTTCTAGAATGAGAGAGCATATTCCTTCTGTGGAACGATAGAATATATGGCTCCAGATATTGTAAGAGGGGGAGACACAGGACATGATAAGGTATGTTCCAAGTTTGGTACTCAAAATAAACTAGTTCTTCAGTCTATATATTGCTCAGCTTGAGGGGTTTTTGTAAAATATGACATGTTATCTTATTTATGTGTTATTTAAGGTTATCTTAAGATTGTTTCCTGTGTCTTCAGTTGTATGTTGATGTATTTTCCTCTTCTGATCTGAAGTAAAAGGCATATTTATAAAGATAGCAAGGCTTATTTGTGTTCTGTTCAAAATTTGTTCTAAGTATGCTGTGGAACAATAAACTTAGTTGGCTCTTATTTGCCTTTGCAAATTCAGAGCGGAAAATGGTTTGTGGCTAATTCTGATATATATTTTAAACTGGAGATCAGAGAAATATATTCTTTATTGAGGTATGAGATAGGTTATTAATGTTGTAAGTGTTCTCATATTGTAAAATTCTTTGGCTTGCAACTCAAGTTTCACTATGCAATAAAATGTCAGTAATTGATAAAAAGGATCAAGGCAACAATAATTAACAGATTATTTCTGAAACAAACAAAAGACCCTACTTTTCAAAATAATTCTACAATATTCATAAGTAAGTTATTCTGATTGCTCACTATACTGGGAAGTTTTTGGGAATATTTAATCTCTTTTTTTGCTGTAGACTGTTTTTCTGTTGTGGATAATTTTCCTTTTATAGCAGCCTGTCTAAGAACTGAAAAAGTCTGACTTTTGCCTGGGAAAGTTCTTTCTTTTCCTTCCCTATGCATTCTGTGCCTCTTTTGGTCTGAGTTTACCTTCAGTTAGGGAGCACTGTAGTGGGCACAAGCTGGTATCTGGCAGTTTGAAGTAGAGCAGAATGACCTCCCTGATTCTTCTACTACACATGAAATAAAGTGTGCTTTGTCTTGTCACTTAGTCATTGTCTCACACCTACCTTGAGTTCCACTATAAACTCTTTGTCTTTTTCTACTGTACTGCTTGCCCAGTTGCTATTAAAAATGGAATTAAAAAAACTTAGGAATTGAAGCTTTTTCCTGCATTCTCTTAGTTTAGTCATTTCACCTCCAGAGCATCACTCCAATTTCTCAGTCACCTTGAAATATGATTCTGTCTTCTCAAAGCTTACAAATTCAGCTTATTGCTGACTTAAAGAAGAATCTCTGTTCTGTTATCTTTGGTTTTGTCTGATACTTTGATCAGATGTTGTGCAGTCATACAGTATTCTGTAAGGCATAACTTCACAGTTTGACAGCGACTTATCGAATCAACAGGGGTGATTTTGCAGTTATGTATGTGATGTTAGTTGTTTTACACCACACACTACCTTATCATTGGCAATGTCATATATGGTTGTTTTAGAAGATTTTTAGTGTATTTTATACTTACTGCATATCTAGCAACTCGAAAAGAGAAAACAAGATTGCTTTAGTATGCTGTGCTCTCATTAATCAATATTTATCATCTGTAATCTGTTCTAGATGATTGCAGTGTTTATCTTAAGGATTTGCTCAGTATTTCAGTATTTATTTTTTTTAAAGTTTGATTTCTGATTCTCTAGATCCTACTTTAGTTTTACAAAAAATACATGCCAAGAATAAATTATTTGGGATTTTCTGAGCTTTATATATTTGCAAAGATAATTAATAACACTACAGAGACTTCTTCAGGTAGTTCTTCTACACACTGGCTGAATATATTAGATGTAAGATTCTGTGTATTTTGAAGCAAAACCAAATAAAACATGTGGCCAAATTGTAGTGATTTCAATATATTGTCCTTCTGTATTGTATTAATACTGCCAACATAAGTAAAGCAGAAGTTTAATTGATTTGCAGACTTCATGGCTGTAAACCTGAGCAGTTCGAATACCTGTAATTATTTTATTGAAAGGATTAAACTGCTTCCTTTATTATATTCATAGTAGTACTCTTCCTTTTGAAAGGAAGAAGTATTTTGTAAGTTATGAGGTATGAGAGAGATGAATAATATGATTAGTATATGGGAAGCCAAATATCCCATGTGTTACCACGGTCCATCTCTCTAAGGCCCCTGAGGTGCAGTGGTAGCACTGGGTGACCATAATTGAACAGTACCATGTGGAGCTGTCTATGCAAAATGGATAGCAGGGAAAGTAACCAGAACCAAAAGGAAGTAACTTTCAAAGTGGGAGTAACAAGGCTTGTGCTTGATCTTTACTAAAGTTCTTTAACAAGCAAAAGCAGTTTTACCCATGATCCATTGCAGCAGTAGGATGTTGGAGACATGATTCTTCTGAAGGCTTTGCCTGAGTGAAGCAGCAAACAGGCGAAACATGAACTGGCTGAAATTGTGTTCAAGATTGGAAATGTCATAGATCTAATAACAGGAAGGAACTGTGCTTTTAAGCAGATTCCATGAAAATCTCAGGTTTGGAATATCTGAAGCAGATACTACCTAAATGAAAAATTTCAGGAGCTTAAATAGACAAATAGTGGTCTAAATATTTAAACATTACAAAGTTGTTGTTGTTGCTGGTATTGGTGCTATCATTAACAACAACCGAAAACTGAAGGAAGGGGTGCCATCCAGAGGGACCTGGATAAGTACAAGAATTGGGCATGCAAATCTCATGAGTTTTAACAAGACAAAAGTGTAAGGTACTGGGTGAGGGTAATGCATGGTATCAACACAGGCTGGGGATGAACAGATCGAAGCAGCCCTGCTGAGAAGGACTTTGGGGTGCTGGTGGATGAGAGGGTGGACATAACCCAGCAATGTGCACTCACAGCCCAGAGAGCCAGATGTGTCCTGGGCTGCATCCAAAGCAGTGTGGGCAGCAGGGCGAGGCCCCTCTACTCTGCTCTGGTGAGACCCCACCTGCAGTGCTGCATCCAGCTCTGGGGTCCTCAGCAGAGAAGGACATTGACCTATTGGAGTGAGTGCAGAGGAGGGTCTCCAAGATGATCAGAGGGATGGGGCACCACTCTTGTGAGGAAAGGCTGAGAGAATTGAGTTCAGCTTAGAGAAGGCTTCATTGTGACTTCAGTACCTGAAGGGAGCCTACAAGAAGATGGAGAGAGACTTTTCACAAGGGCATGTAGTGACAGAACAAGGGGGAATGCCTTTAAACTAAAAGACGAGATTTAGATTAGATGTTAGGGTGAAATTCTATACTGTGAGGCTGATGAGGTACTGGAACAGGTTGCCCAGAGAAGTTTTGAATGATCTGTACCTGGAAATGTTCAAGGTCAGGTTGAACGTGGCTCTAAGCAACCTGATCTAGTGGAAGGTGTCTTTGTCCATGGCAGGAGGTTGGAACAAGATGGTATTTAAGGTCCCTTATAATCCAAACCATTCTATGTTTTCATAGCATTTTCAGGTGCCTGCATTAACTGAACTGTGGACTGTGATCTTAAATTGTGCTTTTTGGACATTCCTTAATTTTGTTCTCAAGCTCATAAAAGTTCAAGTTCCACTACTTAGCAAGCCTTAGGTTCCTCTGTTATTTTGAGTATGTATTAGAATTCATATCACATCACAATGGTAAAAATCAAACAGAATTCTGTCAAGAAAACAAAAGGAACTTTAGTAGTTGGTGGAAAGGGTTCAGCTTGAGAAATTAGTTAAAGAAGCCAAGTGGAGAGATTTCAATATAAAATTAATTTATCACAGAAAATAACTTCAGTCTGTACTACATTTATTTATGCTTTGTTGTATCCTGTTTTGCTTTTGTATTTGTATGTAGGTAGATTCTTCCTATGCTAGTTGCTTTTTAAGTGGGTTGTTCAGTTCCTTCTTTTATTAACAATTTTACTTCAGTGAATCATAACATACATAATTACTATTGTTCTGTAGGCTGTTGATTGGTGGAGTGTTGGTGTTCTTATGTATGAATTATTAACTGGAGCATCACCATTTACAGTTGACGGAGAGAAGAATTCCCAAGCAGAGATTTCTAGGTAAGATTCAAAGCAGTGAAGTATATGTGCTTGCTAACAGATGATCCTTATGCCATAATGTATGTTTTGTGAGAGTTTGTTACTTTAAAATTTAGAAAGAAAGTGCTGCCATGGTAACATTTTATGTGCTCCAGTTCTGTTCAATAGAATGACATTGTAAAGATAGGTTTTATTAGCTAATAGGACTGACTTTACTAAAGACCTGTTTTGTTTGAACTATGGTGGAGCCACAGCCTTGTACATACTTAGCCCTGTTGCATGTTTACTGTTGAAAATGAACTCAAATGAAGTATCAAAGTATATGTAAACAGAATTATCATATTCCAAATCTCAATACATTAGAGATATCTTTATCTAGAGATACTTTTTTTATCAGCTCTTGCTAGGTTGTTCTGGCAGACTGCAGATTTAAAGTGTCAGAATGTACCCTACTCCCACCTTTTTATTACAAGTAATAGTTTTCTTATTACTGTATAGCATGAAACAAAGATCTTTTCTAGCCCCACTTGCATATCTGAGAAGAAATGAATATGATGCTTACAGAAATGAAATAAACTATACCATTCTTATCTTTTACATATAAACTTTTTGTTACATTCAGTGATCTCCACACTTTAAAGGTTTGTTTTCAGTAGCTGTGTAGAGCATTGGAGCACTTTTAAAAGACAAAGCAATAAGCTTGCCCAAAACATATTACTGAAATCTTCCCGAACAAACAAAAGTCTCCTTTTATTGAATTTCTTTTGGGGCAGGAAGTTGTGGTCTTTAATTTCTCAGATTACTAACTGCTGTCAAAATGAGCTTGTAAGTCCAGTCCCCAAACTAAGAATCGTCTGTCTTCTGTTGGAAAATATTGTCCTGGTTCTGACCCTCACCTGAAATCAGGTGATATTTAAGGTTGTAGTGGATGGTACAATGTACCCCAATTATTTAGATAATTTATTTTACTTATGTTAAAAATTCAGGCAATTTCTTGTGAGATTTTCATCGGTTTTTTACTTCTCTACCACACCAGGAAACTTGGACAGTCAGTAGAAAAATACAGGGGAGAGGGGAGTCCATTAATGAAGGAAAATTCAGGGCTTCACCCACTTGGTCGTTATATTGCAGTTAAAATCTCAGCTATCTCTTCCTGCCCTATTTAAGGTTAAAAGTTTTGTTGACTTGTTTCTTATGCCATGGCTGAATTTGGTAATTTTGATTCCCAAGATTTACTAGATTATTACTCTGAAGGAGTAATAATTTTTATATTTTTTTTAAAAAGAGAACCTTGAACTGAATTTTATAGAGATAGTTTCCCAAAAACTGGGAAACTTTTTAGTTATGTATTCTACAGGACTGGACTTTCTTTAGGTAGGCCCATCTGTGGTTTTTATGATAATAATATTTCTGGTATTGTGCAAGGTTGTTAGCATCTGTCCTCTGACAGCTAATAACTTGCTCTCTACAGCTGTGGCAAGTTTACTGTGTTGCTGTCCAGTCTGTTTTTGTTTTGGTGGGTGTTTATGCTACATTTATAGACAGCAGTCCTATAGTATTTCAGTTTTTATTTTGATAAATTTAGAAGTTAAATTCTTACAGTTTCCTATATTGAAGATGTTCCCCTGTCTTCCTGTTTCCTGAAAAAGCCTTTTTTTTAACTCAGCTTCTGTTTTTCTTTCTTACATATGGACCATTTATTCTTGTTGATGTTTCAAGAAGATCTTGGCATGAATAATTTACCATCTGAACAAAAAAATACTTCTTCCAATTTCTTGGGTTCCTCTTGTTGATGCCAGTGCTGGTCTGATAAATCTAATTCCTTTTTCTCTTCTGTTGCTTTCAACTTACGACCCTCTGGTTTATAGTTCTTCCCAGCTATATAGCTGAAATCTTCTTTTTCCCAGCTATATGATAGCATTTTGGACTAGATTTCATCTGTCTTGTGTTACTCCTGTACTCAAAACCCCCAGTGGTTTCTAAATCCTTTCCATTGGTAGCAGTTTCTTTGTTGAATGACTTCAGTGTTATGTGTCTGCAGTTTATATCATGAATGTTACGTTCCTTTTAAGAACATACGAGAACATTGCTGCTGCCCTGGCTGCTGCACTGAGTCATGTGGAATCTTCTGGGGAATGGTGCCTTTGGGAGCATCAGGAGTGTGCTTGGAGCTTTTCCTGAGGGTAGCATAGAGCAGGCAAACAGAAACCAAATAGTGACAGTTGCCACTGATAATGAAATTACAGGCAACAGGCACAGAGACATGAGTCAGTACAAACTTCTTTCTTGATAGCAAGATTGTTCTAACCAGAAATTACATTGGTTAACCTAAATATGCTTAAATATGCTTAAACTTGCCAATTGCAGCAGACTTAGAGAATTCAGTTTTGCTCACAAGCAAGTTTAAGTTTGAGTTTAAGGAAAAAAAAGCCATCCTCTAAATGGATCCAGGTCCTTCTTTTATTTAATCTAGGTAGGAAGTAATCTTAGATATTTTTAGATAATTTTACTCCCTTGTGTGTTACAATGGCTATCTGGTGTTAAATTTGAGCACAAAACTTTGTTCTAAAATATCTCTCCAAGGGAGAGTTCAGTTCTTGTGTCAGAAACAGTGTGTAGTTTCTATTTTTTTTTTTCTCTTTCTGATGAGAAATTGTGTTGTTCTTTTATCATAATCTTTTTGGCACTACTTTGGACTTTAATGGAAAACGTAACTTAAGTAAGTGTAAACTTTGCCTTTTATCTCTGTCTCTGAAGACTTCTTGTTCACATGTTTTGTGTTACAGGTTATTAAACTTGATTCAGTTAAAAAAAAATCACTTAACTACTCCAATATCTCTCCTCTTCTAGTGCTCCTTCTCTCCTTTCTTTTCCCTTGCTCCAAAATCTTCCTTTCATTTTTGAGAATTCTGAACTAATCTTGCTGCAGAGCCAGGGATAAGAGCCATCCTGCAAAAGCATAGGCAAGGGCTGGGATTGACTACACACCCAATTTTTTCACTTTGACTATAAGTAGTTTGTAGCATTGAATTAAAAGACAGACAAATCCATTTTAGGGGGCTGAATTCTGAAGGTCCTGTCATGTACAAGATTTAAAATAGCAGGAAGGTTTTGGAGGACTAGTTTGCAGCTGTGCAGCAGTTTAGAAAATCTTACAAGCTTTAGGGTTATGAATAGATAGAAACTTTTTTTTATGCATGTATATATATCTATAAAATAATCTATAGAAGTATATTATGTCATATAATGATACTAACACCAGTAGCAGCCCGTGGTCTTTGACATAGTTGCTTAGACTTTGTTTAAACTTCATGGAGGACAGCTGAGATTTGACAGTCTGTTGTGATGCTGTGGAGATAATTCAGCTACTATTTTTGAATTAAAGCCATTGGCAACTTAAGTGAATTTTCTTGTAATGGAACATGGCAAAATGCTGCCTTTTCTGCAGTGGGTTCTAGGAGGATCAAGAGCTCGAAGATATTTCTCAATATAAAAGTTACTGTATCTGCTGGAAATACTGTGCAGCAGAGAGGAAACAGTTTAGGAGGTTCCTAGAGTGTATGGAAGAGAACTTACTCTAGAATTTCCCTTTTAATTTCTAAGGACATCCCAGAGTTTCAAACTTATTGCTTTAGAAATCAGTTTTAAAACAATACTGATTGGAGGGGCTTTCTTCCCTTCCGAGAGCCCAAAGAGAACTTATTGTTTTCCAGGATCTTTGTTATATACATCTTGTTGATAAAGAAGCTTCTTCAGACGTGTCTAACTGCAGTGATTTTCAAGCCATGAAAACACTGTAGATTTCATTGGCCCACCTGTAAATGAGGACATTTTTCATTCAAAGTGTCCTATCTTCAGTCTCTAGAACAGGAAGGTTTTCTTACTTCCTTACCTGACTCCCCTTTCTGAAACTGGGTGATTTCAAAAGAGATTGAATTCTTTACTTCTCCACCTCTCCAGCAGTGTAAGAATACTCTTGTTTAATGATGTTTAAATTTGCAATTAACATCCCTAATTAAAAAATCATTTTATAATAATGTGCTTTCTTCTTCTTTTCTGTAAAGTGAAATGTGTCTGGAAGTTGAAGAGAAGTCTTGTGGTTGCTTCTACTTCTGCTAGCAGAAAGGCTGTGATTTGTGATGCCTTATTGGTAGACATACATAATTTAAAAAACAGTCCTGGATCTCTACACCATCTTAAAATTCAGACTGTATTTTCCTAACTCCTTTCAGCATTACTTAAACCAAGAGGCTAGCTTGCTTTCTTTTTGTTTGCTTGAAACTGAATACAATGTCCGTAGAAGCTACCCCTGGGATCTGCGCATTTTGAACTTGGTTTTGTCCTTCCACACTGCCAGAACAAGATTATTTAGGAAGCAATCTGTTTGCATCTATTTTTGGACTAATCCAAGAAGCTAGAGATTTCAAGATAAAAATTTTCTCATGGGATAACTAACTCTAAGGATATGTCATACATACAACTCTCTCATACATACATACAACTCTGAACAAAATTTAGGAATGTTCTGCAGTGATCAACTTAAGCTCTGAGTATATATAATATATATATATATAAAAAAATATACATTATAAATATAGAAATATATAATAAATGTAAATATAAATTATATATAATTTATATATGTAAATTTTATGTATATATATACATATAAAATAGCTGATATCTTAGTATTGCCACAAATTCATGTCATTTCAGCCTCAGTCTCTCATGGCTTCAAAATCTTTCAGTTTGTGTTTAGTGGAGGCACTGTGAGCCCTTCTATGAAATCACCACAGTGAGAATGTGCATCAGGCTATGTGGACACCAAGTTGTACCTGAACCAGCAATGTGGCCATGTGGCAAAGGCAGCAAATGATATCCTGGGCTGCATTGCACAAAGTATTATCAGGTTGAGGGATATGATCCTTCCTCTCTACTCAGTACTGATGAGGCTATATCTGGAGTACTGGTTCCACTTCTGATCTCTCCAGTGCATGAAAGTGATATATTGGACATACTGGAGAGAGTTCAGCAAAGGGCTGATGACAATATGAGGAAAGGTTAAGAAGGCTGGCACTCTTCCCCCTGGAGAAGGGAAGGCTCAGGGACACTTCAATAATGTGCATAAATGCCTGAAGAGACTGTACAAAGAAGGGGAAACAAGGCTTTTTCAGTGATGTTTGGTAACAGGACTGGTGATAGGGACCACAAATTGAAACACAGGAAGTTCCCTTTGAGCGCTTGAAAATATGTTCCTTCTGTGAGTGTGACTGAGTACTGCTGCAGGCTGCCCAAAGGAGGTGGTCAAGTCTCTCTCCTTGGAGATACTCAAAGGGTTTCTGGACATGGTGGTGAACAACTGGCTCTAGGTAACTGAGTTGAGGGAGTTGGACCAGATGACCTCCAGAGATCCAGTCCAGCCTCAACTCTTCTGTGATTCTGTATGCTAAAAGGTTTTTTGTCTCTATTCTAAACCTGTTCATGTGCCTTTAGATGTGTTACTTTCCTTTAGAGTCCTTAGCTCCAGTATTTAGATTTGGAGTAACTGAAGGAAAACTTGCCTACCTGTTTGTATGTTACTGTGGGAACTACAGATATAAAAGATAGATATTGAAATGTGATTTTGCTTAGGTGTCCAAGGTTTTAACTTACGCTGGCACAACGTGATGGTTTCTAGTTCTTGTACTGAAAATGTGGTGAGGTGTCTTTTCAGTTTCTCTTTACCATTTTGAGGGAAACACTGTCCACCTCCTTTGAGTCATCTTTTCAGTAATCTGGATAGTCCTAGCCTTTTTTATAAAACTTCCTATAAAACACATTCTGTGTTTCTGATTAGTCTTATTACTGTTCTCTAAAACCTCCAGTTCTAGTGTTTCCTTTTGAGACAAGGGCATGAACACTGCATGCCATATGGAGGGTGAAGGCAAACCTCCAATGGCCCAAATATGGGATTTTTTTTCCTTTATTTTCTAATACTTTTTAATATTGGAATTATTTTTGGTTTAACTGATATATCAGGCATCAAGTTGATTTCTTTGTGGAGCAACCTGTTGCAGCTAAAAATTCTTTAAATAGGAAACTCAGTACATAAAATGAAGGTTGTTCTCCTTTTGTGGATTGAGTTACATAATTTATGTCTTCAGATGTTGTGTTTCATGTCCACAATTCCTTAAACCTTCCCATATTTAAAAAAAGGTTGGTTTCATGTTTGTCATCCTCCTGCTTTTGGGTACAACAGAAGTTTAAGTGAAATGCTAACATTTCCATTAGTATGGTAACTCTTTAACTCTCAACACTTCAAATAATTATCACCTTGTTATTTTGTTTGTTTTAAAGGAGAATATTAAAAAGTGAGCCACCTTATCCACAAGAAATGAGTGCTCTGTCTAAGGATATAATTCAGCAGCTTTTAATGAAAGACCCCAAGAAGAGGCTAGGTTGTGGTCCCACTGATGCTGATGAAATCAAACAGCATCCCTTTTTCCAGGTAAAGCAGACAACAAAATTCACCAGATCCCACTTATTCTGCATTAGTGCCTGTGAAATTAAAGTTTAAGGAAAGTCTGTTGTTCTACTAACAGAACAGCTTGGAGACATTCATTGCATGAATAATTGCACTGAAGTTAGTAAGAATATCCATGTGTTTGTATATATGGATTTTGTGTGTATTTAGAAGGGCATGCTAGGTTTTTAATATATTCTGTCTGTATCTATCAGTTACTTAAAGAAGCTGAAGGACACACTGCTTAAATCAGGTTTAAAGCAAAACACTGAAATTGTATTATCTGTTGATTTTTTGTTTGAAAGGATTTTTTAAAGATCACCCTTAGCATTATAAGTAAAATTTGAATATTGTTAAAATTCACCAAACTCCTCAATTTTCCTTGGCTTAGTTAAATCTTCAGTCTTGTTTAGTAAATTTTAATTCTATTAAGATTTCAGTGTATTAACATTTGCTTTCAAACCATGATGAAGGTTGTATTTGCATACAATAGTGTTCTGTCCACCATGGTTAAAATTGTGTACTTTCTTTGGAAAAACTAATTATATATTTATGATGCTTCTGAAGTTAAGTAGAGTTAAACAGAGTTAAACTTCCTTAATTCACTGTTCGTTTTGGGAGATACATTTGTCATCATGTAACACTTTCTATTCTTTACTTAATTTCAGTTCCACTCCTTTACAGTAACAGGGCAGTTTTCTTATAACAGCTATTTCTATGCTTCCCCTTTCTAGTCCTGCCTTTAAGTAAGAATTTGGAGGTTTACGGTCTCAGGGCTCTGAAAGCTGACATCAGTAATTAAGCATAGAAATTGGCAATGAAAAGTTGAAGATACTACATGCATGAGTTACAAAAATATAAATATTGCTTATTCTGAAATAGAGGAAGAAATTCAAGGACCATCACACTAATTGTTTGGCACATCTACACTGTTTAATTATGTTAATTTTCTTTTTGATTGGATTCTGCCTACATACAAATAAGTATGATACTGCTTGGCTTTAACTAAGCAAATTAGTAGAGCATAATTTGAATGTTTTTCAAAATGGCAAAGAGTGTTAGGACTGTGGGTCTGGACAAGTCTCTCTTTCCAATATCTCTTTCTGTAAAATTTTTATTAAATTCAAACTTATTTTCCTGTGTTTTGTTTAGAATATGAATTGGGAGGACTTAGCTGCCAAAAAAATACCAGCTCCATTTAAACCAGTAATCAGAGATGAATTGGATGTCAGTAATTTTGCAGAAGAGTTTACAGAAATGGATCCAACATACTCTCCTGCAGCAACCCCTCAGACTTCAGAAAGAATATTCCAGGTATTTTAAGAACTCAAATTAATTTTTTTAAGAAAGTTATTATTGAAAAATTCTGCATGTGTAGATAGCTTTGGTTTTTTTTACCTCCTGACTATTAAGTTTTTGGAATTAATTGTGCAATTTCTACTCCCAGTTCCCAGGGCTTTTTGTTCAACAATTGCAAAATGAGAGAGGTGGAAACAGTCCTATTGCAAATATAAAATTCCTTGTTTCTCCGTTCCCACCTGAATGTCCTACTTGCTGGACTAAAGCCAGTCTGTTCTTTATTGATTCTTTGTACCCTATGAGTCCTTGTCATCTTGGCTCCATCAGCCTGGTCTGCCAGCTTCAACAAGAGCAATATAGTTTACCCATTTCCACATTATGTGCTAGTTGAAGTAATCCTTTGGAAAGTGGAAACTACCTGCAGAGCTGAAAGGAGGTCCTCCACATTTTGTAGGGGTGCTCTAGTTACTCAACTGATGTATCCAGATGAGTAACAAAGCTTTCCTTACTGTTTTCTCTGTGGTATTAAAGAACACACTTAGACTACAGTCTGGGTGTCAAATGGGCAGAAACAGCTCATGTGCAGCCAACTTGGTACTAAAGCTGCAGAGGTAAACAGCAGTGTGGATTGCGTTCTCCCCTCCTTGTGCTTTGCTGTTTTTTATTGTCTATTTTTGAGCAGCTTAATCCTTAGGGTACAGGAATGTAGTGTCATAATTTGGAACTTGTTAGATTTGCAGTGACTGTAGCAAGCAGGTTATGCGTGTCTTAATAACATCTGATTCACCCTGCATTGGTAGTCACAGCTGTTGTTATTATACTCAAACTGGGCACATTGTTGCTCACACACATTGATATAAAGTTTATCCATTTAAAATTGTTGAATACTTTCATCACAACATACAAGCTATTTCATGCCTTAACTTTAAGCTGTCCTGGGAAGCTGGCTGGTTTGAAGTACAAGTCTTTATTGCTATTTTAAAGCAGTTGTAGCTGAGCCAGATTAGCATTAATTAGAATTCTTGTAGTGTTATTGTTTTGTCTTTAACTGTGGAGGATCATGTAATTAATTCCAGGAAGATACCTATTCATGTTGAACAGAGTAAGTTACAATTTCTCTATTATGATACAAAAATTATGATTTCTTGAAAAATTCTTTTGAAACTTCTGATGTTTCATGTGTATTATAGTAGTTTATGTGCAACAATGTCAAGCTGTACCCTTTTCTGATGTTTCAATTTCATAGGGATATTCTTTCGTTGCACCTTCTATTTTGTTTAAACGCAATGCAGCTACAGTAGATCCTTTTCAGTTTTATGTGGGGGATGAGCGACCTGGAACTACAACTATTGCCAGAAGTGCTATGATGAAGGTAATAATAATATGGAGACTTAATCTGGTTAAATTAAAACTTTTTATAATTTTCCAAGTAGCAATCATAAGCTAGGCTACGGATTACAAAACAGCCATCATTCATTTATCAGTTCTCTGTAATGGCTCCTCAGATGATTCAAGCATCTGATGATCCATCACATCTTGCATGTGATATTAAGAAGTAGCTGAAGTTTAATCTGAAAAATGATTGTATAGTTTTCCAGAAGACTGACGTATAGGAGAAGTAATAGTAACAATCATATGATTCCTGATAGTTCTTATTCAGCCAACCACTGTAGATATTTCTGAAGCTACTTTAATTATATATTAATTCTGTCTATGTTATATTTACCCAAAAGAGTGTATAATTGTGTGAAGCCTTATAAGAACACGTGCTATTGTGATGTCCTCAAATGAGCACATAGTTTTGTGGATAAATGTTATGTATGACCATCTTTGATCCTGTTTGTCTGAATATTTTGTATCTTCAACTGTTGTAGTAGTAATGATTTATTTAGTGATTATGTTTGTTTAATGTAATGTAAGCTTTATTCTTTGATTGTTAGAATAATGTTTATGCATTTTATTCAATAAAATTTAAGGTTATATTTTAATAACAAGAGAGCTCTTTTACAGTTTTAAATGTAGATGAAAAATTCTCATGAAATTTTACTCTTTGTCTTTGACTGTGTATACTAAAAGTATTCTGCAAAACTAAATACAGACAGTTTCCTAACAGGACTCTCCATTTTATCATCATTATGAACTGGATCTGAAAGAGAAACCATTGGGAGAAGGAAGTTTTTCCATTTGTCGAAAGTGCTTACACAAGAAAACTAGCCAAGAGTATGCAGTAAAAATAATTAGCAAAAGGTATAAATATTCTATAAGACAATAAAAATATTTTCTTTGCTTACTGTCACCCATGGAGTAGAATATTGTTCACTACATTTTTGGAAATAGAAAAAGAACTTTAAAATTATTTCATGCTCTATGAATCTACAGAAACTTATTGTAACCTTATGACTGTTAAAAAGATTCTGAGAGTCTTTTGAAATAAAATGTTGTTCTAGTTGGGACACAAGAAGAAACCTAGAGAGTACTTTTCTGGTTCCTAGTTGTATTTTACCATTATTTCCCCTAATTTTGTCCTAACAAAGTAAGGTATGAGGTTCTTCCATCTTGAGACTTAAGTGAACTGAATGTAGGCTTATGCTAGCTCCCTCTCCTAAGCAGCCCAATTGATTGCCTAGGATACTGCTTTTAAGAATGGTCTGCAGTGTGGGTTGCATCTCATCTAAGTGTGTGTGTGTTAAAATGGATTTAGACTATGGAATTGTAAGTTGTATCTTGTTTCCTGGGTGTTCTGAAGAGAACAACACAATGGAAGCAGCTGACTTGCTTTGTACATGGGTACCATCTGGTTCTCTTCCAGAATGGATATCTCTGGGAGTTTCTACCCAGAGAAAAATAAAGATAAGGGATTATTTGAGTAGCAGATGGATTTTTGCCTTCATTTTGCGGAGTTCATTAGTAAGAACACCCCTAGTGCATTGTAGAATGCTGGCAGGAGAGTAAAAATGTTCTGCTATCAAAATGATAATTCACAGTGATCTCTTGCCCAAGACATTTGGCTGTACCTCTGTTTTCTCTAGACTCTAGAGGAAGTTGTCCACCAGACCTAAGTGTCTGTCATTTCGTCATATGCTTTTTGAGTAGGACAAGTTCAAGAACAAGAAACTAAGTGTAGGTGTCTGAGTTAGTTTTTTGAGGTCTGCTAAATGGAAGCCTACCTAAAACTGTCTTGCACTAGAAGTGGGATTCAGTAACTTAAACATAGACATCTACGTAGTGCCATTTTAGCATCTTGTTGGTGTCTTCTCTGTCCTCCGGTTCCCATCAGTCTTGTGACTACTACCTTTTTGTAGATGTCTTCATGGCTGATGTCATCTTCCAGGCTCTTCCTTCCTATGCTTAGGCCACTGAATCCTACTCTCTAGGTATGTATGTTACAATGAACTAGTTCACCCTGTAAGATGGATTCACAGGAATTTCACTCATTATAAAGAGACCTTAAGTGGTATGTGGTAGACACCTGTGTTGGGTATTTTAATGTGGAGATCTCTGCCATGTGTCTACACGCACAAGTTTTTTCTGTGGTACTAGCAGAGCTGTAGGTTAGTGCTCCCATCTCATCTTAACATAATGTGTGTTTTGTTTCTGGATAAGTGAGCAGACTAATACTGACTTTTCCCCTAGAACTTAGCTTTTAGAAATTATGTCCCTGAATTATATTACTCATGGGTTCTTTTGCTCTTTCTCCTTCATCTTGGTGGCTCAGGCTAACCAAAGGTAAGAAGTGATCTATATACAGAGATTTAAATTTTTTTTTAGGATTGCAGGGTGTGAGCAGACTCAGCATGTTTGTACAGTATTTAGAGTTAGCAGTAAACCCACACTTTGAACAGTTGGCCGAAATCCAACTTGAATTAGAATCTGTAAGTAATATTGCTCTGAGGATCACACCACTAAAATCTTGCTAAAAGTATAATAAGTTTCTAGCAACTTTTTTGCCTCTAAGTCAGTTTTTCACTCCTACCAGGCAAACATGCCCCAAAAGGGAATCTTACACCTAGGGAAACTTTTTCATGATATTTGAGGTGAAAGCTCAGGTAAACAGTTCCTCTGTGGTGTTGCTTTTTTAATAGTGCTGGACCTGCTCCCAAGCCAACAATTTTAGGTTTATCTGTATGTCTTAAGACCATTAAAACAATGTAAGCCTACTTGAGTTACTGTTTTAGAACATCCCATTTGTTTCTCACAAGGTTGTTTAAAATCTGAGATAACTATTTATGGAGAGGAAGTGTTCAGAAAAGCCCATGAACAAATTTCAAAGGTTTGTGCCCATGATACTGAACCTTTTTCATCCATTTCCAAAATCTGCTTCCTTCTGATAGTAGTTCAGGGGGAAACACTCTGTTTTTAATTCCTTAAGGTCCAGAAGTCACTTTCAGTTGAAAAACTTGAGCAGCAGAGATGCAGGTGGAAAAGCTTTGTTTACTTGTTGATTATATGAAGCCTGCAGAAAGATAGAATTCTCATTGTGGTTCTCATCCTAATTAGGAAAAAAAAGCAATCAAAAATTAAGAATATGTGTGGTAAGAGATTTTATCTCTATTTGTTACCTATAAAGCCATTCTCTAAATCAGTACAGGATTAGCCTTTCTGGGAGGGAGTTTTGGCAGAAATATTTAGGCATTATTTGCCAAAAAGAAATCAATATATCTAACTAGTGGAAAAAAATGTTCTGTCACCATTCATATAGTTTTTATAACGATTGCCATTTTCACTTTTTATGGCTAGAGATTTCAGTACTTGAAAGAGAATTTACACAATGATTTCTCTGGTGATACTCTCTTATCTCTTCCATTTCAGATTTTTACAATGGTCTGTTTAGGAGTTCATTTGTATAACACATTTCATATATAAATGATGTTACTCTTTTTCTAGTAGAACTTGTTTCCATATAATTTTGGAAGTACTTGTCCCCATTAAAAATAGAAAAGAATTGGGCCAAGAAAAAGGTGAACTAACAAATATTGGTAGTAACAGAGGTGAAGTCAAATTGCTCTGGACTAAGGGCATGGTTTGTTTTAGATTGAAACTATTCTATATCACATCAGCTTTTGCTGTAGGAAGTTGCAGTTGTGTTAAAAACACTGTTTGAATGGGGTGTGGGTTTTTTAACGGACTAAATTGCAGGGTTATGGGGAGAGTTTTTCTCCACTTTCAATATGCATTTAATTGTGTTCAAGTGGTTGTAATAGTAAAAAATATGAACTGCAAGCAGTTAAAAAGTAACACTTGGAATGTACAATTTACTCAGTAAAATTGGTACAAAATGACTGCTCAATTTTTCCAGAATGGAAGCCAACACCCAGAGAGAAATAACAGCTCTGAGACTCTGTGAAGGACACCCGAATGTAGTGAAGTTACATGAAGTTTTTCATGACCAGGTATTTTTAAGAAACTGTAATCAGCACCTACCAAACATATTGCCATGTGTTTTCCCAAGAACCTTTTGGACTTGAGCATACTGTAACTGTGGAGGCAACGTTTCTCCTATGGCTTTTGTCTAGTCAGTACAGAAAATGAAGCAGAAATTCTGCATTCAAGGAACCTTGTAGTTACTCTAGAAAATCAAAACAGTATGTGAAAATATTAGAGGCTTAGATTCTGTTCATTGTTCTGTTTTGTCGTTGTTTACCATCATACAATGTGTTCATGGCCCAATTTCTGAAATGTGTTATCATCTTTCCCCCAGGGTCATTATAAACCTTAAAACAGTATTTGTGAATTAATTAAGAAATGTTGCATATGAAGATTATATATATCTAGTGTCTTTTCCTACACATTAGTAACTTAGTGGAGATAATCAAATAGCTTACCAAATTACCAAATATGAAAGTAGAGTCCCTATTTGAAAATCTGTTAAGATTGGTTTATTTAGATACCTTAATTGTCTTTTTTCCTTCAATGTAATACAAATTCCACAGTATGTAATAAAAAATAATTTGATCTGAATTGGAAGTTGGCCCTCATTTGAGCTAGGGTTTGGACAGCTCCTTTCCAACCTAGACTACTCTGTGGTTCTGGTCTGTGATTTTGTAATGGAGCAAGGGGTCACTTGCCTCTCTGCATATCTCAGTCTGTCCCCCTCATGCTGTTTGTACTGGGACCTGAGAGCTCGTGTAGAGCACTTTAAAATCAGCTGAGAGGATACAGTGTCTGTAGTGTAATTTGTAATGACAAGAAAACCCTTTTTTTACATATATGGGCAATATGAGTACACATGTAGAACAGGACGTTTCTTTCAGTTTCCTTTGAATAAAATGAATATAGTAAATCCATAAAAAAGGTTCTCCAAACTGCTCTGCCACTGGATAGGCTGCTCTCAACCAATGAACCCAATGTATTTTTAGCTCCTTATGGTAGTTCCTTTTCTGATTACTTGTGCACAATATTCTGAAGGTCAGAACTGATGAAAATCTTCTAATTTTTACCTTTCTGCAGTTTGTCTTAATAAAAAGAAGTTCCAGTTTTTAACTTGCTCTGATAACAGTCTGTTCAAATTCCACATTAGTGTTCCAACCATATAATAATTGGATTGCAGTCTCTTGGTGAACCAGAAGTTTTCTAGTTTCTAGTCTAGAGACTTCTAGGATAAAGTCTCTTTATCCTTTCTAACTTACCTGTCAGATTTTCCCAAGGCATAAAGAAAATTTTTAGGAGAGAATATCATTCAAGCACTACTAGACACCTTGGTTGTTCTAAGAAGTATTACTGTTTCCTGTTCACATAGCTCTGGCTCTGTTCTTTGGTATCTGAAGTGTGCACTTTCTGACTGTTGCTTTGAATTCCATTTTTTGGCTGCTTCCCAGAACTTTTTTGCTCAGCTAGCAAATACTAGTTTTGTTACTGTCATTCAGGGGAGGGAAGGGCTGGAAGCCATGGCATGCCTACATTCATAGCCTTTTGAGAATGCTGACTTCACTTCCTTGTTCTGCTGTTTGTTTAATGGCAAGACACTTGAATTGCAGTTGAGTGTGTGCCAATGTTGCCTTATAATCAAGGAAGCCCCTGCTTACTGATTGCCTTGAAAAGAGCAAACTTCTAAAAACTCATTGCTTTTCTAATTGTAAAAAATGCTCTTTAATTTTTGGAAAGATGTCTGTTGCAATTCTAATGATGGAGTAATTTCGGCTACTACTACCTACTAGGGGGTAAAAATCACAATTTCTAGATAATCTTTGATTTCAGAGGTAAAGTTTTGGGGTGCTTTTAAAGGATTTTATAACATTTAAGTGGTTAACTCCTTATGTATATTAATAGATACATATCCTTATATTAGAAAAGGCTTAAGCAGCTAAAGTTTAGCTTTTTCTGGCTTTACTTGTTAACCTTAGTAAAGCCTTTTCATCTCCCTACAAATTGATCCATTTAGCTGGTGGCACTGTGTTTTTGTTAATAAGAATGTGTGCACATGGGGAAAATATTATTCTTCCGTCTCAAACAAGACTGGTGGGAAAAATGCCATCTGAGATATGATGCTTTTTTTGGCCTTCCAAATTACTCCAAGCAGCGATGCTATTTCTTCAAACACTGAGAACCTGTCAGAATAGTATCTAACTGAGTGAATGTTGGTTTGTAATGTTAAATTTCTAACACACTATATTTTTATTGTTTCAGCTTCACACGTTCCTAGTAATGGAATTACTGAAGGGAGGAGAATTGCTTGAACGTATTCAGAAAAAGAAACATTTCAGTGAGACTGAAGCCAGTCACATTATGCGCAGACTTGTTTCAGCAGTGAGCCATATGCACGATGTAGGAGTAGTCCATAGAGATCTGAAACCTGAGGTATAGTGACTTGTATATATATGTTTAGACAATAAGTTATTAAATGTCTGGAATGTGATGTATCTCTGTTTCTCCAGCCTTTGTTACAGAGTTTTCTACTTCTGTGTTTTTAATTAGATGTTACCACTTCTACTTAGCAAATTCTGTAGATATTTTTCTGTTCATAGGTAAAAGTAACTGTTAGGAAACATTTTTAGTTCTGTAAGCAATCTCTACTCTTAACTTGTTTAAAAACATTCTTTGCCTATTTGGGGACATTTTTCACTAGCATGTATTTATTGTGTGAAGCAGTTCATAAGCAGAACAAGGTTGCGTATTTGTCTTGTACATTTCCACATTTTGTTTGATCTTAATTTCCTCAGTGGGGCTTCTTTTCCAGTTAAGTACAAAATGAGCACTGACAGAGATGTGCGATTTGAGTTCCCAAAAGAAACTGTTTATTAATATCTATTTTTCAGTTACTGCTTTTTTGATATTTTTGTTGTGCAGCAACATTATACCTTCTAGACCATTTAGTTTACTATTATGGGATTGACCACTGGCTTTGTTCTGATTCCTGGAGCCTGTGTTTTTTCTTGGGGTGATTTTGCCAGCAATGGGTTGGGATGCGTGTTTTCTCAAGCCTGAAAATAGTGTAGATTAATGTTGATTCATCCAGTAATGATCTTATATTGTAAGGTGATTACAGCATCATACCCCAGTGTTGGAGTCTGGAATACTGAGTGTGTGCCCTTGTTTCTGATACTTAGTTATAAGATCCAGAAAAACACTGAATTTCATATAATATGAAATTCATGAGCATGTTTTCATGGTGATACATAAAAACAAATGTTAAAGTTAGATAGAAAAAGCTAAAAGTGTAAGTGTGTAGATTAGAAAGTTTTTTTTAAATCACTGGGTGAAAAAGTTAGTTTAGAGAACAGGAGACAAGATGGAGGATTTAGGGTGTTGTTCCTTGTCCTTTCTTTCTTCTTCATGTTCTTTTCCTAGAGGTTTTTGGGTCATAGTAAGTGATTGGGCAGAGAATGCCACAGTGCATCACAGAGGTGATGGGTCATCAAGAAAAATAATATACGTGTCTATTGTTAACTGGATAAAAATAGGTATAAAGATAAAAGAACTGCATAGTTTGGGGCCATTTTGTGCATCAGACACAAAGTGTGCCACAAGGCCGTGTTTGTACCATCAGAAGAAAGAAATATACCAGATTGCAAAGATTAACCTTTTGTAGCCAGCCTGGAGAGACCTGTTAAGTTTTGTGATGACCTGTTAATAAACACGAGAAACAAGATTCTAATGAGCTTGGGAGTTTTCTTCGAATCATAAGAACTGAGATAAGCAGGGCTCCCCACAAGGGAGGATCCCAAAAGAATTCAGTCCAAAGGAGGCTGAGGAATCTAAGAATAAAAAGGAAAATACAAAAGAGATGCAGCAGAAACAGAGAAACAGAAAAAGGATTTTTTTAGAGAAAAGTTACACCCAGGAAATAGCTGTTCCTTTTGTAGCTGAAGTTAAAAAATAATCCCCCATTTGTACTGACATTTTATCTTTTTGTAACATACTTTCTGTGATGTGAAAGACTTGGTATTTTATAGTAATTCCAATTTGACTAGTAAGTCTTCTAGGTGTTGCTAGTTGTTTTTGAAAACCAATCAAAAATACATGAGTTTAAAATAATCTCTGTCCTGGGCTCCTGATGTAAGTAAACAGTTAAAGAGGGACTATTTTGAAATTCTAATGTGTGAGTTGAAAAAGTCATCAGAGAAACCTTTTCCAAGAGTCACATCATCAGGGTAAGAAAACAGCTTTTGAAACAAGTTAATTATTAAAAGAATGAAACCAGCCCCTCTTTCTTTCTTCTATTCTTATCATCTTAGTCTTACTGCCACTTTGGATATAAAGGCACAGTAAAGCAGAGCTTCAGCTGCATGGTAAATTAGGCAGTCTTTAATTCTACATTATGTTCAAGTACAGAAGTCTGGGAAGTCCAAGTAATGAAGGGTTAGCAAACAGCTTTCAGAATCCATTGCCTCCACAAAGTTGGACTTAACCTGCTTGTCTGCTTCCTGCTTGTTATGAAAGCTACTATTTTAGGTTCTGACATGAACTTAGTATGGGATATACAGCTTTCCCAATATAGATAATGGTTAGTGCTCTTCTCTGTAAAAAGATAATATAGGAAATTCTGTTGCTTTTCTAAGAATTCCAGTCAGTTTATTTTGATGTTGAACCTCTAATGTGCTAGTGATAATTCTTTTTTTAAAAGTCTGGCTGGTTAAATGTTAACTAAGAATTAGATTTTTGAATTTCATGGACTGGAAGACTTCTGTTTAGCAGTAGGAATTAGACCACATATGTTGGTCTACAAAACAGAGGAAAAGTACTGGATGTAAAATAGAGAATTCATAGGGAAGAAGAGATCGTGTAGCATATGTGACCAGATTTGGAACCTTCCAGTAGAGAATTTGAGGACTTAAATGTTTCTGTGAAGTGATCATTAATCTGTAAACTGGTTTTTAAAAGTATTACAACAAAACATAACAAGGGAGAGAGAATGTTGTTTATATATTCTAAAATATGTGGAATGTAGCAGTAAATATTTTGGGGATGGGAGGGTTCTGAAACACGCTTTATTTGCTTAATTAACAGGAGTACCTGAACCCGGTGTAGGATGCTTGGACTGCATCTTTCTTTCCATGCATATTCAATTTAATTTTTATCATAAGAAAGGTCTTTTTGAACCAATGTTAGTCATTCTTTATTTACTTGTAGACTATATAACATCATCCTAGAAAAAAGATTATTGTATTAATCACTCCTCCTTGTTGTATGAATATTTTTGCTGAAATTAGGTTTCCTTTAGATACATTTACACAACAGTTAAAAACTGACTTCTCTGAATGTGCACTAAAGCTATATCAGCAGTACAGAAAACAAAAATACTAAAATACTGTTTTGTAGCAGCTGTTTTCTTTTATCCATAATGAATGCTCTCTGGTTCTTCTTATTGATCTGCTGGCAGTCTAGCATTCATTTTTTACCCTTGTTAATGAGCTTGAAATTAATTACTTTGTGTGAGTCATTCACCTTTTGTATTACAAAGTTAGATAGGACTATAGGATTTCTAATATTGAGACTTTTCCTAGCGTTCATAGATTGAACTGCAAAGGCAATAGCAAAATGATGCTCTTCTTTCAGAAGCTGAAGGGAAGAGTAGATTTAGCTTATAATTCATCTTGGCCTCAGACAGTTTTTCTCTGACTTAGCTTCCCTCTTGTATCTTTCTTGGCAAATAGAAATACTTCTCATACTTCAGGTGAGAAGAAATAAGCAGATGGCCTTATATTTTCCAAACTGATAACAACTTGTCTGTCGTCCAATGTGTAAAGCTGGAATTCTCAGGGACTACTGCCCCAATGTCTCTACCTTGGTGTAAGGAGTGGGTTTGTGGCTGGACTGTTATGTGGCCTTCAGTGCTTGAATGCTGTTGGTCCCAAGCCTTTTCCAGAACACTTATCCATACTGGCTTTGCCATTTGTGCCAGACAGCTCTCAGTGAAACCTCTGAGCTATTGGTGCACTTCCTAACACCACTTCATACCAAGGTGCACCTTTTTACCACTGTCCTTCACTTTCAAATGCCTCTTGTGCATTATTGTCCTTGTGGCAATAATGTGTTACCACTTGAGTACCAAAAGAGTGTTCAGTCACAAGACAGGGCGAGCAGAGGGAATCCCCCCACACAAGAAAGCTGTTGTTCACAACTTGCCAAAAGGAAGTGGAAGCTTGAGAAAATTTGCTTTTGTTTGAGGAAGAAGGCAATTTCCCATCTCCAGACATGTTGATGTCTTTGCGTTTTTTTTCTTGTCTGTGTTCCCAGAATTCTTTTCTCAACAGTTCTCTTCTACATATCCATTTTCATTAGTAATCTCAGAATTGTCCTGACTTGTGGGTATGCAGGGGCAGGTAAACAGGTCACACTTCTTACAACTCAGAGTATTGTTATTTCTGTTCTTCTCTTTCCCCAGTGTCTTGCAGTTCACCTTTCCTCTAGATAATGGAAAAATTTCTGTAGTGATAGATATAGCAAAATAATGATAACCAATTTTCTATCCAGTGCTAATATTCATTTTTGTCTTTGCTTTTCAGAATTTACTATTTACAGATGAAACTGATAATTCAGAAATAAAAATAATCGATTTTGGCTTTGCTTGTTTAAAACCACCTGACAATCAGCCTCTTAAGACTCCATGTTTTACTCTTCATTATGCTGCCCCAGAGCTCTTGAATCACAATGGTTATGATGAGTCTTGTGATCTGTGGAGTTTGGGGGTCATTTTGGTGAGTGATTGAGGTTTTAAGCTAATTTTATTGCATGTATTTGCTTTTTGTTAAAATGGAAGGGACTTGAGATGATTTCAGACATAAATTGTGTGCATGCTGGATTCAAGGGAGGTGAAAATAGTGCTGCAGAAATAATATGTTCCAAAGACAGATCTTTTCCAGAAGCAGATTTTTTTTTTACCAAGTAGGAAATAAAATTTAATGTTTTTGGGAAGGGAAAAATTACTTTATACACTCAGCTTCTCAAAAAAATATATGCTTGTTAGGGGATTTTACAGGAATCCATATAATCTTTCTACAGTTTCAGTTCAGAGGAGGAATCAGCCTGCATTTTGATCTACAGAAAATTAGTTTCATTATATATAAATGGGGTAGAAATATATTTTGTTCATAGCTTCCTGGAATAGATGAATGTTTTTTCTAACAAAGAATCAAGAGAAAGTTTTCTATATTTTAAGTTTTCTATAGCCTTAAAGTTATGCTAGGCCAAAATTTATTGCATAGCATTGGTGATGCAAACAGCCCTTCGTATTTAATGACAGTGTTGTCTATAAATATTCTGTGTTTCCTAATGCTGCTTTTATTCTTGTGACAGTACACGATGCTGTCAGGACAGGTACCATTTCAGTCTCAAGACAGAAGTTTAACATGTACTAGTGCATTGGAAATCATGAAGAAAATAAAAAAAGGAGAATTTTCCTTTGAAGGAGAGGCTTGGAAAAATGTTTCTGAAGAGGCTAAAGAGCTAATTCGAGGTATGTATTTACGAGTATTTCATGTACATTATGTTTTTAAATAAGAAGATAAAATTTGGAGAACCATACAATATCTGGATGCCATAATCAGCTCCCAAGTGTCTTAACCTAACAGAGCAATATGTACAGCTTGAGCTACGTACTGATCTCCAATACAGGCAATGAGTAGCAGTAGACACATCAGACACAGGAATTGCTTGTACACCTAGCAGAGTTTTCTAATGTGGTAAGATGCTGATAAAATTAGTGGGGTTAGAAGGAACTGAAGAAGATCAGAAAAAGTGAACTCACTCTTATAAAACATTTAAAAGCAGAGTTTTTCTATTATGTTAGTTTTACTTTTCTAAAACCCCAAAACAGCTTATGAGATAAATGTCTTAGAAACTGAGCTTTTGCAGAAAATGAATTTATTACTATTTCTTTCCATTGGCTATTTTTTAATTCCTCTACCAAGGCTACTTACTGTATTTCTGAGCTACTTCAGTGACATTTGCCGTGCTTTGGTTCCTCTAAGCTTTTGAGCATCTAATTATGTTTTCATCATGAGCTAGACACCTACCTTAATGCTATTTAGATGGAGTTCTGAATTTCTGTAGAAGCAGACATGTAAGGAATTTTTCTGCCAAAAATATAGGGATTTCCAGATTCAGACTTGAGTGAATTGTGCAGGGAATCTGAGGCTTGCTCTTTTGAACTTCATCCTACACAGGTTTTAAATGAAGAAATAATTTGGTAGTTCTGGTTTTGTGTAAAGAGAGATGCGAGTTATCAAACAGTTAAATATCAATTTTTTGCTTTTAAGGTTCTTCTGAAGAGGATGACAGTATAACATTGTGTGAGCCTTATCTAGGATAAATATTGGCATACCTGGGATAAATATTGACATTAGTTACTTATCAAAGCAATGCATGAGATTTTATTAAGAAATATTTGCATTTTCTATTGACCAAAGATAAATAGCTGTCAGTTTTTAAGAAGGTAATGTGTTTCTATTAGGACTTCTAACAGTGGATCCAAACAAAAGAATTAAAATGTCCAGCCTGAGATACAACGAGTGGCTTCAGGATGGCAGCCAGCTCTCATCTAATCCTCTCATGACGCCTGATAACTTAGGCTCTTCAGGAGCTGCAGTGCACACATATGTCAAAGCCACTTTCCATGTAAGTTTATGAGCAATTTTGTCATGTGCTATGTTTTGTAATGTGTCATCTAGATTTGTGTATGTTTTCTCTTAACAATACATATCTGTCCTTAAAATTCAGTATATGCTTATAGCTGGATTTTTTTTTCTCAGTAACATTTTATCATAACATCTGATGCAGTACATGAAAATATGAATGATGAAAGAATAAATTTCTTGAAGATATTTATATTCATGAGGATTTGAGCATTGAGTGCTGTTCTTGAAACAGCTAATAAAAATATGCCGTTTCTTAGAGAAATCTATTAAAAAGTCTTCAAATTTTATTAAAAAAAAGGAGAAGAAACTTTATATTTAGCTTAAGTAACTGTTTGACTTTTTGCCCTTATGGTTACTAAATCGAGGTAGAATTTCTGGAATATATGTAGTTCATGTTTTTTATATCATGGATGCTTTTTTAGTGGACTTGCTTGTCTACTATTGTATATTTATTAAAATCATTTGAACTGCAACTGTATTTTACAAATACACTGTCGATTTTCATGATACCCTCTACAGAGAATAACCAAAATTGAGCAGATTTATGCTAAAATGCTTGTGGGTGCTTTTTAGGAAGAAGAGAAAAACAAAGTAATTGTTTCTTGGAGAGGTCCTGATTAATGTAACATAATTTGGGCTGAAAGAAAAACAATGTCCTCTCTGAAAATGTAGTCTTAAACAAGTCAAGGCTTAATAAAAAAATACTTCTAAAGTAAAAAGGACAAGTAAAGGAAGATGCCAATCAATAATTGGCTCTTATGTACCTGTAAAGGCTGGTAGAGTAATTGTTACAACTATAATAGGAATTAGTCAAGGAATTACATTTTATAATTTTGTAATGTAATGTATAATGTACCATAGGCCATTCATAATAAGTGATAAGGCATAAAATGTGTTAAATCTATTGAAAAACTTTGAATTACCTTATATTTTTAAACAGGCCTTCAACAAGTACAAAAGGGAAGGATTTTGTCTCCAGAATGTGGACAAGGCACCTCTTGCAAAAAGAAGAAAAATGAAAAAAACAAGTACAAGCACAGAGACACGTAGCAGCTCCAGTGAAAGTTCCCATTCTTCTTCCTCTCATTCTCATGGTAAAACTACACCTACAAAGACATTGCAGCCCACAAACCCTACAGACAGCAATAACCCGGAAACCATCTTCCAGTTCTCCGACTGAGAAGCAGAGAATATCCTGTCTTGAGGAGTTAAGTGGTTATAGACTTGGCAGTACCTGTAATGTCTTCTCCCACCCTTCCTCCCTGTGGCTTACAGGCTGCTACAGGAAAACGTCTGTTGCTTTCGAAATGTATTTTAGTCATACCTTTTTAGCTTTGTATTTCCATACATTTCCTTTTAGTGTTTGGTATCACTGGATATAGTATAATACTGTTATACAACCAACATTGGATTCTCTGAGGGCTAAATTACTGGTGTGCAGTCAAGCTCAAGGTAAGTAGCTGTGCTGCTCATGGTACCACTTGGAAGAAGACTGTTCCTCAGTGTCACAATCTTCCTCCCAGTTTCTTCCCCACTGCTCAAAGAAAGGAAAGCTCTGTAACATATATGGAACTTTGGGATCTTCTGCTCTTACCCAGCTCTGTGAAGAATGTTACAGAATTTGTTTCTTCATGCATGTAAAGAATGATTTGTACAATGCACCAAAGCAGTATAGTACTTTAAAGCCTTTTAAATTTATGGTTACATTCTGTCCCATTTATTTGAATTTTAAGATCAAAATGAAGCACTATGAAACTCTTATTTTCTTTAAAAAATAGCTCCACATATCTTGTTCTAAACAACTGAGAATAGAAGTCTTAGATTTTTTTTATTTATTTATTTTTTTAAAAATACTTCTAGGATAAAAGTTATCTGATAAGGTGAGATGTCTAATACTGTGATACAATAATTTTTATTTTTTGAAGTTATTAACTTCTAAAAGATTTTACAGATTCTAAAATGTAATGCTATAAGAGAAAATTAAATTTCATATTTGATGCTTTGGAAAATGGTCACATGTTAAAATACCTATTTCAAGATTTAATTATATATATTTTTTTTAATAGTTACACAATAATTTTAAAATACTACGATTTTTTTTAAAGATGAGAAAACTCCAGTTTCAGCATTTGTTATTATAGGGTCCATAAGAATGCATACCAAGTTATTTGAATTTAGCATTGTGCAAATATGGCAGTCTAATAGTGACTGTAAAATATTAGAATATGTGTTTTATTTTTTGCACTTTATAACATCCAAAGGAGATGTTTTAGAATAAAGTGCACTCAGATCTCTCTTCCTACAAGGTGCTGAGCACTGTTTTACTGGGCTGAATGACCTGAAATCCACCATATATATTTGGTGGTTGTGGTTATTGTGAAGGAGAATTCTGTACTTTGCAGGAGTGAATCCCTGTATATTACCCACTGTTTTCATTCCTTACTGTAAAATGCAAAGCTCTTTCTATCTTGCTTTTACATTGTATATAACAAATACTAGACTTGGGCACCTTGTGTAGTGTAGATGTTAACAACTTATGCACTGGGAATACTAAAGGGAAATTATATTGAACACTGTGCTTCACAACTTGTTCACTGTGGTGTTCTACAGTGAAGTATTTCCTACTGTGATAGTATAGTATGTACATAACTGTTTGGAATCATAAATGTGACTTACAGAAACATCAGCATAAACTTTTAAATCAGTATATTTTATAAATTTATGGAGAGTCTTTTATAGCTTGTATTCTCAATGATTAGGGGTAACTTAAGTGCTAAAGATGACTCCTGTTTTGCAAATGCTTACATGTGTAAGTTTCCACTGAAGTCAGAAAGGCTCCTTGTCATATGCCTAAATTTGTGTGATGGAAGACTAATTGACTAGAGGATTTTGTTAACAGCTGTCTCTATCCTAAAGTAACCTTAATCCAAACCCTATGCAAAAAAAAAAGTTATAGAAATGGTTTATATCAGTGATTTTATTTATAGAATTATATCAGATATCAGTATTGACAAATACAATACATCCATGTTTACAGGGATTGTGTGTATCAAAATAAGGCTTTGAAGCCCAACATGTTTGTTCTGTGTTTCTTTAATATTAATAATGGCATTCTGAGGTTTTGGAATTGCTCATGTGAAATAGTTTACTACTTTCTTGATGTGAATGTCAACAGTAATTGCAGCATTAATTTCAGGTTGATGTGAATATTGAGATTTGCACTGTTTATGTAGAAGTAGTATATTTAAAAATCTGTCTATGTGCTAATAACACAACCAGTTTTAAGTGGCTGATGTTAAAAGTATTGAATAATAATTGTCAATGTAATATATTCAGGTTTGCTTTCTGAATGCTATCTTTGGAAGTAATCTCAATAGTGAACATGGCTCATTTGTAAAAGAATACTTTTCCTCTCCCAAATAAACTTGCTGTAAATACAACAAACAATCCACCATTAATACTTGTTATGCAGACAATATAAGTGAATTGGGAGATTGGAGAACAGGTTGCTTGTAAAGTTTGCACTTTGAGGTGTTTGTGGAACTTGTTGTTTTCCTGATGAAGACAACTAAAAGCAATTGCAGTCTGATTTCATTTAAGTGTAAGAAACTTTTGGATACAAGGTGGATTTGGAATATTGTGACCCAAATGAAAGAACTTAAATGTTGGGAACACAGAACAGTTGTTTCCGTGTAGGGAAAATGAAACTGTTTCTTGACAAACTGATGAAACAACAAGAATGTTTGCACTAAACAATAGATAACAAAGATACTAAGTGCTAGAGATAATGTCTGTGTTGTCAATCATTTTTTCTACACAGATTTCGAGAGACTGTTGTGAGACTGAAGTTATTAGAATACATCACTTTTATCAAAGACCACTTTTATAGCTGAATATTTCTGGGTCCTCTTTGTGCTATCACGGTAGTTGCTTAAGAAAAATTTAAACCCTGGGTATTTCATTTGGGCAGGGCTAAGTACATTTAGGTATCACCTTGTATTTACTTTGAACCAGCTACCCAGGGTAGCTGAAATGTTTCAGACCTCTGGCTGCCAGCTGCCTCCAGGTAAACAGAGCTCTTGAGGAAGTGTATTCAGACAGACTGAGATGTCTGAATTTTTAGATTAGTATCTTTACCTAAATACTGCTGATGTACATACATATTGATACATTGAAACTTGAGTTGCAAATTAGGCAACTCGAGAATAAGTTTACTTCTTGTTCTGATGTCCCTGCAGAATAATATTTACTCTTGGAAGAACAGTGTTTTAATCTGTTGACCAGCCTGGAACTCAAGGTCGTATAAAGACCATGGGCCATGTTTTTCATATTCAGACCATTGTTTCAAATTTGAAGTGTACAAGTTAATTTTCATTAGAACTATAAATACTTTATATTGTCTTGGTGAAGAGATGTTACACTGTAAATTGTGTATACTCGGATTAAGTTTTCTTCACAGTGCTGCTATACCTCAATCAGCTTTAATGTCTAGTAATGATATCTGTCTGCTGTCAGAAATACAGTGCTGTCAGTGATGTTGTAGGCAGATTTGTGTGAAAAGTCAAATTTCTTATGCGTAAAGAGTTCAATTAGTGTGGGTTTTAATCTAATCTTCAAAGTACTCAATACCTGGTAAAGCCATTTCTTGTAATGCTTTTAGGAACACAAATATTAGTATTAGCAGGTGATTCTGCTAAAGGATTTAGAGAAGTACAAAGAAAATATCATGACTTACTGTTCCTCTGGCTTAGTGAAATTTCTATACTTCAAGGAAACAAATCAGTGTATATCACATATGTATGGTTTACTGCTATGAAAAAACCCCTATTAAATACCTCATTAAACAATTGGGGGTGAGGGGCAACATGTATTGCATCACAGAATAGAGTAAGGCTTCAAATTGGCTCTGCTGATGAACATATTTTCTCAGCCCTTTTCCATGGCTACTTTTCTGAACAAAATAATGATTACTTCACAGCTGTGTCCCTTCTCAGTCATCTGAGAACAGAATGATGCTCAGCAGAAAGCGTGTTCATTGGTTGTGGTGAAATGTTGCACCAGCATCATGTATTTTAAATCTGTGCATGTGTTCTCTGCATGCATGTAGATACATGCTGTATTGCATGTCTAGATCTCAAAGTAATATGCTTTGATTAAGAGAATTTGTACTTTAAAAATGGGTTCTGGACTCACACAGATTTGGAGGACCAGATTAGGGGGCTGCCACAGAAGAGGAAGAAGATTACAGGAAGTCAGAAGTGAGAAGCTTCTGGGAAGATACTTTTTGGGTAATTTCTCCCCTGGCTATCTCCATGTGCATGTATTATTCACTGGCAGTGAATTGTAAGCTTTCTTGCCAGTTATCCTACATAAACATATTTCCTACCTCTGCAGGTCCCCAAGTATGTGTGTGTGTAGCTTTTTAACATTTAGTTAATTGTATTGAAATTATTTGTTATTTCTCAAGTTATCATTCCAGGTGTTTTTACTAAGTCAATGGTCTTCATTCTTTCCCCTGTAAGTGATAGTCTTTTTCAAAATCCAGTTTTCACATTGCAAAACATTACATTGCCTTCCTTCAGTTGAGATAGTTGACTGAATATCCTGGATATAATGTGGACATTTCAGCTGTAAAGAAATAAAATTGCTTTGATCTTTGTCTGCCAGTGAGAAACACTCCTCAGTTTGGTCCTTTGGCCCACAAGGCACTGGATTTTCTAGAAGTAGAAGAAATGCAGAGCTATTCACTAGCTCTCACCTGCCATCACACAGTTTTATATATCACATATTAAATAGATTCTGAAAGTTCAGAACATGTGTGTAGAAAAGAAAATTCAGACTGATTCCTGTAGTCTGCACTAGAAAATAAAGTGATGCTTTCAATTACATGGACCAGCTGAAACAGTCTCTTGTTTGTCGTACCTAGAAACTGAATAATGGAGATATGCAAGAGACCTGCAATAACACAAATTTCAAGAAAACATGTATTTTGACAACCTTCATGTTCTGTATGATAGAAATGGAAGACGGCAACTCGCTGGGAAACAATTATAAATGTTTAGGTAGAGATGCTGTGGGCTGGTCTGACTTATACTTTATTCAGTGGTAGAAAGGAATCCATATTATTCACATGTAAAGTTGCTTTTAAAAATTTGCAACCAGTCTAACTGTATTTACAAAAGTCATGCAGAAGTCCACTAATTTCCTTTGAAATGTCAGTAATAAAGGAAAGAAAAACAGAACTCTTTAATTGCTTCAGGAACTGCCAAAAAACCTAACAGATGAAACTGCAAACTGACTGCAAACTTCTTACAGCTTTCTTAATACAAATATATTTGTCAAATATTAAAATAGGTCTCATTTATGTTCATCTGATATTCCCTAGTTTTTTTATTTTGGTAAATATGTAGTTGTCTTAGTATGATTATGACCAAAGGTCTGTTTTTGTAAGTAGGAGAAAAATCAAAGGATTTAGGATTTAAGATTAGGCCTTGTGAATAACCAAAAAAAATCTGTTTTGAAGGGTAACCATTTCAAGATACGCATATGCATATTTGCTGATAAAACTACATCTAACCAAGTACATTTTATCTAAGTTATGGGAGTGATTTTGTGTGATATTCAGTTATGCTAAAAAAGCTTTCAAGTGTAAAGTCTTTGGAGTTTAGGAAAGTGAGAAGAAAAGGGGAAATTTACAGATGATGCTGCAAAGAGGGGACAATGCTTGAAATTTGTCCCGATTACAGAGGTGTCATTGTAGGGTCTGCAGAAGCTCACTCATTAGTAACAGCAAATGCCTTTTTTCCTTTAAAAGTAATATACAGTGGACAGGAGAAACTAAATTCACAAAAGCAGCAAATACCTCAAAGCTTTTCTCAGGTGTCTCCTTAATGAGTTCTCATCCTTTAAACAGATAACTCCACAGTACATAACAGTTATTCTTGTTGAAGCTATGCCTGCTTGAGGGAGCGGGATCCTGCTCTCTGGTGATGTGTTCGCTCTAGAGGGATCTAGAGTGCTGTGTCCCTGCTGCTTTCAAGTGTTCATACAATTCTGCTTACTATGTATCACCATGTCAGTCCAATTGGTATGCAGCTGCGGCAGGTCAGCTCAATTTTAGTGCTGTCAAATTAAAAGGAAGACTTGAGATCCACTTCATGACCAAAGTGAGAACAGGCTTTGAATCTTAACATACATCTGGATTACAAAAATGAATAAAAGTTTGGCATTGGCTTTCAACTTTGACAGCTTTAATATGCTCCTGCAGCAACTATGTTTGCTTACAGATATCTTTACAGTATTGATCTCTTTCACCTGCAGAAAAAAAAAACCTGTGAAATTATCTTGCCAGATAAAAACTTTTGCTGGAGTCCAAGTAGAAGAAATCATCCCTAATTTCTACCTTTACCTTTGAAGCTGTAAAGGCAAAAAATGAATAGGTGACAGATTCTGACAGCTGGTTATAAAGGAGCAGGCTGTGTTAATTTGCAGTGAGAGGAACAGGGTGTTCTATTTCATGTGTCAGTGTGGGCAGGGAGTGGGGAGAGGGAAGGAAATGGGAAGAAGGGAATGCTGAGTGCTTTGCCTCACTTTAACTTATAGGACATTCTGGTTGCACACCATTACTTCTGAAGGAGCAACGATCACCTTCAATTAAAATCTTTTTGAATTAAAAAAAACCCACACAGATTAACCTGACAACTTTTCTTCTTGGAAACAGTGCCATTTTCAAATGGCAAATATAGCATTGTGGACTTTGATTTCCTTATTTTCTTAATGCAAGTTATCAACAGATTACAATGAAATTTTCATTTTGACACATACACACCTCTTTAAAATTCTTTGTCATGTCAACAAAGTGCAAAACCTTGTGATGGAAGTTTATCAAAAAGCAAGAGAAGTAATTGAATTGGTTTATTTTGGCCAATATTCAGAAAATTAATGAGGATTGTTGGAGTGAGTCCAGAGGATGATTCTGAATTTGATGGGGAAAGGTACTATTAGAAGAAAGGATAATTTTGTGAATACAGTGGTGGAGAAAATACAGGAAAGCTGTGTTCTGGTAGACTGCTCAGGACTTGTGGAAGACTAGTGGAACCAGATGACAGGTGAATACTCCTGTCTCTAGAGCTGTTAAAGCCTAACCATGCTTATTTGAAGGATGATAAGCCCAGCCTGTTGGCCAGTCCTGTCAGAGCCACTGGTTTTAGGAAAATCTGTTGTTTGGCTTCTGTCTTGGAAGTACTTTTCCTTATTTGCGAGTCCTGTTAACCACCAGGGCATGATCAACAGTTGGCAAATCAGACTCTTCTGCTATGTTGGAATGATAACTGTAATGATGGTTCTGATCCTCAGCAGCCTATTTTCTTCTTCAGGCTATGATGTTCAAAATGGGACGAGATTTTTTGGGGGGTTTTTTGTTGCTCTGCATTTGCTGTTGTTAAACACTGTGGTGGCTTCAAAGTTAATGCAAAGCAATATGGAGAAGTACATCCTGTTATTGCTAACAAGTCAGCCTTGGATTCCTGTGCACAGTGCAGAGCAATAGCATGGGTATTCCCTGTGGTAGCTGGTGGTCTGCATATCCATTGTTCATCTGACTCTTGAAGTTGTGTGTACTGGGAACTCTCCTTGCAGAAAAATGTGAAAAAATAACCCAAGCATCTGAATGCTAGGCAGGTGATTCGCAGGTGAAGGCAGTTTTATTTGTAATAAGTAGGGATTTTATTTGCTGTTGCATTATGTATGACATATCTGGCAGCAGGGAAAAGTATCTGAACAAGTCTCT